ATACTTATCTTTTTGGGCAAAAAACATTTGAATTTATTTTTTAATTTTCGGAAAATAAATTCATACTTATCTTTTTGGGCAAAAAACATTTGAATTTATTTTTTAATTTTTGGAAAATAAATTTTGACCGTTTGAATTCTTGACCAAGTTTTTTTGGATTTCTGGCTACTGTTGGGATGGAATTCGGTGCAACAATTCATCACATGGTTATTTTTGCATTGCCCAAGTTGTTTAAGAAATGCCCACTGGAATTATGCACAGCACACTTGAATTATGCCACTACCAGAATTATGCACGCTTGAATTATCCCACTTGAATATTAAATTATGCAAACTTGAATTATGCCCTGTTTTTTTTTTTTTTTTTTTCATATTTTCAATGCATTAATGCTATTAGTGATTTTTTTTTTTAGTAGTATGAATCATTATTGTTTTTGAAAATATATTTTATACTCTTGTTTGGCATGTGATTTTTTAGGTGATTTTTTTGACTATTTTAGTTCTGATTAAAAAGTTCGTTTGGGTTAAGTTTTTAAAATTTTGTAAGTAAAAAAATAAAATAATTATAATTCGAATGTCACATTGTGTTTTATTAATTTTTTAATCTATTTTATTTTTTAAAAAACTAATTTAGCCCAAAAAATCAATGCAAAACGAAATTTAGCCCAGAAATTTATTGGACACATTCATTTTATTTTTTATTTTTTATAAGACCTACCATCAATTAGTTTGAAATTCACAAAAAAAAAAAGAAAAGGAAAAAAGAAATGACTTTAGTTTTCATTTCCAGAATTTTAACTTTTTGGAAAGTCTAAAAATTAATTTTAAATATAAAAAATCATCATTTTCATATTCTTATCTTTTGTAAAAAAAATATTTTTAAAAATTATAAATTTTAGTGTTTATTTTTACCATATTAAGTTTTAATATTTTTTAAAACATAAAAATATTTTCCCATTTTTGAATTTTGAGGTTAGCCTTTTTGTGGATTTTTTATTTTATTTTATTATCTAGAGTTATTTATTTTTTTAAATTATCAAAATATTTTAAGCTTTTTGAATTCTTCTGGATCAGATGGATCGAGAAACTATAAAGTAGCGTTTGGTAGAGTTTTAGAATTATAATTTGATAATAGAGTTATATTTTAAGTTTGTGAATTTTGAAATTATAATTTGAAAAGAGAAAATTTGTTTGGCTAAGAATTTTGAAAATTTGTTTGGTTACGCTAAATCCCCACTTAGACCATCTCCAATAGTTCGTTAAATCTATCATCAAATTTAAATTTGATAAAAAAAATTACTTTTTATTTCTTCAACGGTCCATCAAATCTATCATGAAATCCAAAAATTTACTTTTTTTTCATCAAACTGAGAATCAATATACCTTTCATTAAATTACTGTTCACTGTCATTGAATTTTTACCACTGAATATTCCCCAAATGTCTCTTCGAATGATCACCTCAACACAAAAATTTATAAAAAAAAATTACATTGACCGATCGTCCGCCCGGTCGACCGATAGTTTGATGAAATTACGAAACCTTTTATTGAAACATTTGATATTAAATGAAATTTTTACTCAAATTTTTATTCAAATTTAATTAAAAAAATTTAGGATAAATTACACTGACACCCCCTGAGGTTTATGTTTATTACAGTTTTTCCCTCACATTTTGGAAATTACATCTCCCTCTCCGAGATTTAAAGTTTTATTACAGATTTCCTCCTTAGCAATTTAATTTTTTTAAATACCAATTTTGCCCTCACTGGATAAATTACATTGACATCCCTTACATTTTAGAAATTACAATCCCCTCCCTAAGGTTTAAAGTAACATTACCAATTGCCCCCTCATTTAGTATTAGTTGGAAAAAAATTCATTGGAAAAAAAATAATTGAAAAAAAAATTGTTAGTAAAATTTTTAAATTTCTGTTTAAAAACCAATGTAAACTCATTTTTTGAATTTATGTTTTTTTCTTCTAATTTACAAATTGAGACAACAATTTATAAACAAAAAAAATTGTCAAACAAGTTTTTAAGACAGTTTTTAAAATTTTTGTAAATATGAATTGAAAACTGAAAACGAAATGGTTACCAAACAGGTCTTAAAGGGTAAAAATGTCATAAAATTAACAAATAATTAGTTTAAAAAAACGTAAAAATTAATTTTATGACATTTGTTAATTATTTTTTATTTTTTATTTATTAACCAAATTAATTTTTAATTTAAAAAAAAAATCTAAAAATCAAATCATACACCGCCTAAGAATCTTTTGATAAGTCATTTCTTACGTTGATAACTTATTTAATTATTTGTTAATTTTACGACATTTTTACCATCTAAGGTCTGTTTAGTAACCATTTCGTTTTCAGTTTTCAATTTATATTTACAAAAATTTTAAAAAATGTCATAAAAACTTGTTTGATAATTTTTTTAGTTTATAAATTGTTGTCTAAGTTTGTAAATTTAAGAAAAAAAACGTAAATTTAAAAAATAAGTTTACATTGATTTTTAAACAGAAATTTAAAAATTTTATTAACAAATTTTTTTTTCAATTAATTTTTTTTCAATGATTTTTTTTTCCAACTAATACTAACCGAGGAGACGATTAGTAATGCTACTTTAAACTTTAGGGAGAGAATTGTAATTTCTAAAATGTGAGGGGTGTCAATGTAATTTACCTAATGAAAACAAAATTGGCATTTAAAAAAATTAAATTATTGAAGGGAGAATCTGTAATGAAATTTTAAATTTCAAAAAGAGAGATGTAATTTTTAAAATGTGTGAAAAAAATTGTAATAAATATAAACTACAGTGGTGTGAGTGTAATTTACCCAAAAAAAAAAAAAATTAATATACCATCGGATGCCTTTACCATGCTAATAGTAATTCTTCTAGATGTACTATATTTTTAATTAAATTAAAAAAAAGAAGAAAAAATCAGTATAGATCACACGCTGTCAATATACTATTTATTCTCTCTCTCTCTCCTACGTGTGTGTATATATATATACATACATATCTCCCAACGCCGCAACATCACAACGGCGAAGAGAGAGATAGGGAGAGTGAAAAGAGAGAGAGAGAGAGGACTCAGCTCAGCACTCCATTTCCGTTAATTTTCCGGCGACTCGAACTACGCTGTGCGCCAACGCCGAAGAAGTGAGTGAGCCATGGGGGAGGCTTTACTCTCAGATCTCGGCACAGAGATAGTGATCCCGGTGTGCGCTGTCATCGGAATCGTCTTCTCCTTAGTCCAGTGGGTGATCGTCTCCAAAGTCAAGGTCTCGCCGGAAAAATCGTCTCCGGCGGCGGCCAACAACAACAAGAACGGTGGCTTCACCGAATCGTTGATTGAGGAGGAGGAAGGTCTCAACGAACACAACGTCGTCCAGAAATGCGCCGAAATTCAGAGTGCTATCTCTGAAGGTGAGGTTTCTCACTCAGCTTTGATTAGATCTTGTGGATTTGGTTCTCTTTAGTTGTTGTTTGGTGATTTTGTTGCTGAATTTCGTTTTTTTGTGCTGGATTTGTGCTTAGTTTTTGGGTTTTTTATGATTTACTGCATAAAATATTTCACTTGCATACTTATCTACTCGTCTCAAGTAAAAGCTTTATTTGGTACGAAGCACAAAATTTTAGCATAAATTTGAGTAAAAGCTTCAATTTTGGCAGGGTTGTAAATTTAAAAGTTACGAAATAGTCTTGAAAATTTGGAGTAAACAATTGAGTCTTCCTTGATTTGGGTTTTAAAAAAAAGGGGTAAAATTCAATTTGATAGAAGTTTGAGTCAAGGAGTGGAGAGGTTTTCGAGCTATTTTTACCCAAATTTAAATTTGGTACAGATTTGAGTTTAAGGGTTTCCGGCCCTTACTGAATATCTTGCTCAAATTTGAATTTGATATAGATTTGAGTCTAAGGGTTTCCGGCCCTTACTGAATATCTTATTCAAATTTGAGTAAAAGCTTTATTTGATATGAACTATTGAAATAGATAAACTCGGATTTAAGCATTTAGAGTAAAAGCTTCACTAATTGACAAAGTGAGTATTATATTTGAGAGCCACAAAAAAACTTTGAAAATTTTAGGAAACTTTGAAAATTTTGAGGAAACATTTGAGTGACATGTGTAGCTTATAATTTGCAGCTTGTTTATGATTTAATATGCAAAAATTTAATCTTTTTTAATTTTTTATTTATTTAAATTTTGATGATTTAATTTTCACATGAGTTTTTTAGTTAAAGAAGAGGTTTTTCTTTGTTAATGTATAAATAGTCGGTGGTGGCAGGTGATCAAGCCCTGGAAATTGGAAACCTTATTATTGTATTTACTATTATTGATTTTATTGTCAGGACCCTCAAGTGTTTGGTTTGTTATTGGGGTTCGCAGATGTTGATTATTTGTATTTATTGTGATGTGAATAGCATTCAAGTTGAATTATCTTCACATACACTGGTATTTGTTCCAGACCTCTTGGTTATTTGATTTATTTATTTATTATTATTATTATTATGTTGATTTCCCTGTCGGTTACCTTTGAGTTGAGATAGCTTCTTTTTGTTTCTAGTTGTTGTCACACAACTAAAATGATACTCCTTTCTTTTTAACACGTGTATGAATGCTTAGGCTTATGTGTCGCTTTACCGGGTAAACAATCTCCAAAATCTTTTAAATTGTGTTACAATTAGCACTAAGTTGTGGAGCTTTCCATATTTAAAAACAATGGCATGCATATGTTTTTATTTTTGGTCAGCCACATGTTGTCCGTTTGGTTTTAATTATTGCAAGAGTAATGATATACAAACTAACAAATTTATCTAATTTTTCTTGTGCATATAAAATAGTCCCTATTGTATTTGTGGCAGGTTACATTTCAGGCCAAAACAAAAGTGCCATTACTATATGCCACATTTTTAAGTCAGAAAGTTTTGGAGAATTTGTTAATTTGTATGTCATTTTCTTTATTGTAGATTAAAAAACTCTTGTTTATGTGGGGCTTGCTTCTTTCTCCCTCATCATCATAGCCCCTTTTGTGCAAATAGTAGTAATATCTCACATAGTATATAAGATTTTACCCTGCCGGCTCTTAGTCATGCATTAGATATTGGTATGCCCCATTTAAGGGACAAGACTACCATAAGTTATTGCTATGTTGTTGATTTTGATTGGTGAATTTTATTCTATGGGCAATTTGGAAAATTCAGTTTTTGTTATTATTTATTTATTTTAGTTAGTGTCAAGTGCTGCTTAGTTAATTCATTTTTATTTTCACCATGAAATTCACTTTTCGAGGTTGATGCATTATTTTGGTTGGGGTGGTAAGTTATACTTATGATACTTGTTACGATTGTGGTTTTAATTTTTATATTTCTTGTTTTCTTTATATTTGCCATTTTCCAACCTGCGGGGGGAGCTTCGGGTAAATTCTAATTTTGGAATACTTTGATGTCACAGGGGCAACCTCCTTCCTTTTTACTGAATATCAATATGTTGGTATTTTCATGGTTGCTTTTGCTGTTTTGATCTTCCTTTTCCTTGGCTCTGTGGAGGGATTCAGCACAAAGAGCCAGCCTTGTACTTATGACAGCACCAGAACGTGTAAGCCTGCCCTCGCCACTGCTGCCTTCAGCACCATATCTTTCTTGCTTGGTGCTGTCACATCAGTGGTTTCTGGCTTTCTTGGAATGAAAATTGCTACCTATGCAAATGCCAGAACTACCTTGGAGGCAAGAAAGGGTGTCGGGAAGGCTTTCATCACTGCTTTTAGATCTGGTTCAGTCATGGGTTTCCTCCTTGCTGCAAATGGTCTTTTAGTGCTGTACATTACCATTAACGTCTTCAAGTTGTACTATGGTGATGATTGGGAAGGCCTCTTTGAATCTATAACTGGTTATGGCCTTGGTGGATCCTCCATGGCCCTCTTTGGCAGAGTAGGTGGAGGTATTTATACAAAAGCTGCTGATGTTGGGGCTGATCTTGTGGGCAAGGTTGAGATGAACATCCCTGAGGATGATCCCAGAAATCCAGCTGTAAGATGCCATATGCTTTAGAAACTTAAAAGTATCTTCAAATTGTTTGCTTATTGGGATCATAGTTGATCAATTTGTTTCGTTTTTCAGGTGATAGCTGACAATGTTGGTGACAACGTTGGGGATATTGCTGGTATGGGATCTGATCTATTCGGCTCGTATGCGGAATCATCATGTGCTGCTCTTGTTGTTGCTTCCATATCATCTTTTGGGATCAATCATGATTTCACTGGAATGCTTTATCCTCTGCTTATCAGTTCTGTGGGTATCCTTGTTTGTTTGCTAACCTCCTTATTTGCTACTGATTTCTTTGAAATCAAGGCTGTAAAGGATATTGAGCCAACATTGAAGAAGCAACTCATTATCTCCACTGCACTGATGACTTTTGGTGTTGCTCTAGTCAGTTGGATTGGGCTTCCATCTTCCTTCACCATCTTCAATTTTGGAGTCCAGAAAGAAGTACAGAACTGGTAAGCTATATGATTGCTACTTTTGGAGATATATCTTCTTTCTTGGTCTTATTAAATTATACTCATAAGTAGTTCCATTGTGATTTTATAGTGTGCATTAAACTAGGATTTAGGATTTGGTAATTCGATGTTGTTTTCCCGTAGAATTTGAAGGCACAAATCCTTCTATTAGAAATGATTTCTTGCCTGAGAACCCATCGCCAAAATACGAATTCTAAATTTTAGAATGCTTTGTAGTGATGATTATTTTGTAGAAGGCCTTGTTGCCAAAAACTAGGAACATATATGAGGAGATTCATTATCTATTCAAAGTTTCTGCAGAATACAAAGCAATTATTCTGTTTATATGGGAAATCCAAAAGGACCTCTTCATTCATCTAATATTTATTTTGGTGTGCACTGGGCAGGCAGCTGTTCTTGTGTGTTTGTGTTGGTTTGTGGGCTGGGCTTATTATTGGGTTCATAACCGAGTATTATACAAGCAATGCATACAGGTACATTGTTTTTGCATCATTCGTCTTTCCCCTTGCTATATTTCTCTAAAGTTGCGAGTTTTAATACTGGATTTTCATTATTTTCCAGCCCTGTTCAAGATGTTGCAGATTCCTGCCGTACTGGAGCTGCTACTAATGTTATTTTTGGCCTTGCATTGGGATATAAATCAGTCATTATTCCAATTTTTGCCATTGCAATCAGCATTTTTGTTAGTTTTAGCTTTGCTGCTATGTATGGTATTGCAGTAGCTGCCCTTGGAATGCTGAGCACCATAGCTATTGGATTGGCCATTGATGCATATGGTCCCATCAGTGATAATGCTGGAGGTATTGCTGAGATGGCTGGCATGAGCCATAGAATCCGAGAGAGAACTGATGCTCTTGATGCCGCAGGAAACACCACAGCTGCTATTGGCAAGGTATATCATTACTTTTCATTTTCAGTTGTTACCCAGGACAGGTGTCACTCTTTCATTATTTATCAAAAAAAAAAAAAAAGTTTTTACCCAGGCCAGAGACTCTCTTCTTGCTTTCTTTCTTTATTTTTTGTTGTTGTCAGTAGTTGATCTTTGGGTGTTTGTCACAAGGCTAATTTTTATTTATTTTTGAACGCGCAAGGCTAATTTGTTTTCATGGTTCTTCTTATCAAAAAGAAAAAGAAAATATTATGGTCTTTATGGAGAGAGTACTGTTGTGTTGACCTAAGGTTTTGATGGACATGCTAGGAAGCACAGGTACGCTGATACGGCAAAGCTATAAAAACTAAAGGGGAAATTACTATTCAGTATAAATTTAGAAAAATAATTACATATCAGTGGTAAACTTATAAATATAAATAATTAAAATTTTAAACTTTTTCATTTACTTGTAAATATTTTTTCAAAAATTCACTGAGATGTAATTCCCCTAAAAATAAATTATTAAAGCATTTTTGTATGGTCAAAAAAAGAATTCTAAGGATTTTTTATATATTTTTTATCATTGTAAACATATCCTATTTTTTTAGAGTTTTAAAAAATAGGCACAATATAATAATTCTAGTATCCATAAAAACCCTTTTTTATTTATTTAAAATATTTATTTATGCCCAAAAGTACCCATAGAAGTACCCGAACCATACCCATTCCGTACCCAAAGTATTTTGCCTACCGGATAAGTATTTTGCCTACCGGATAAGTATTTTGCCTTCCGGATAAGTATTTCGCGTGCCCAGTAAACGTGCAGCCATACTGTTATGTGTGCCCATACCGGGTAAGTATCCGGTACTCATACTTCCGTATTTTTAGAGTACCCATGCTTCATAGTGTAGTACCAATGTTGATCCGTAGCCTTCAGGCATATCTTATGTGGGGCTATTTTATTTTTTTTGGGGTGGGGGTGGGGTGCATCTTGCTGCAGGAGTTACTTTTGCCTTTCTCTGTGACGGTTTTCCAGTCGATGGACCCCATTTTGATTGTCTTAATTCTTAGCCCACAAGTATGATCTCATATAATATATTTGAGAAAATTCTTTTTCATGTAATTGGGTATCATATAAATTTTGAAATAAAATGTTTCAGGTGTTGTTTTGTATAACTGCAAAAAAACCCATTATAAATTTATAGTCGTTGAATGTCAAATTATTTAAAATTGTTATGAGAAGTCTTTTTTGCAGTATAGTATAAGTTTATTAGAGTGAAGTATTCTTGGATTCTTTAAGGAGATTAAATGATGTTTTCTTGATCAAGACAGAAAATTGTTTTTATGCAATGGCACCCACATGCCCATGTTGAGATAATTATTCCTAACAAAAATTATTGTGCTCTTATTTTTAGGGCTTTGCAATTGGGTCAGCAGCCCTTGTGTCCCTGGCCCTCTTTGGTGCCTTCGTGAGCCGTGCAGGGATTTCAACCGTAGATGTGTTGACACCTAAAGTTTTCATTGGATTGATTGTGGGTGCAATGCTTCCTTATTGGTTCTCTGCCATGACAATGAAGAGTGTTGGGAAAGCAGCTCTTAAAATGGTTGAGGAAGTGCGTAGACAATTCAGGGACATCCCTGGCCTCATGGAAGGCACTGCCAAGCCTGACTATGCTACGTGTGTGAAAATCTCCACAGATGCCTCACTCAGAGAAATGATTCCTCCTGGTGCTCTTGTCATGCTCACGCCCCTCATTGTTGGCATCCTTTTTGGTGTTGAAACACTATCTGGTGTGCTTGCCGGAGCCCTTGTATCTGGTGTACAGGTAATGTATAGAACATGGGTACCCTAGGATTTTTTTTTAATTTTAATTTTTAGGGTAAATTACACTAATTTTCCATGTGATTTGGGAAAATATGATTAGCACCACAATTTTGACAAAATTACATAGTGCTCTCTTGGACTATGTTTGGATCATGGATTTGTGTTGGAAAGGAGGAGAAGAAGGAAAAGGAAAAGGTAATGGATTTGTGTTGGAAAGGAACAGGAAAAGGAAAAGGTAAGAGAAATGTTAGAGAAATATTAGTAAATTTTTTTTCTCTATTTCACTCGCCTTTTCCTTCTTCGACCCAAATTTATAATCCAAATACAGTATTGAAGTTTAAATTAACATAACACTTGCCCCAACCCCATTTGTTGACCATCAGTCAATCAACGTAAAAAGATGGTCACTATTTTTACATTGAAATATCTATCTTACCCTGGATTAAATTGACTTGGATTTACATTGACATTATATACTTGACATGAAGAATTTGAAGACAAATAACCCTCACATAGATACATAGAGAATTTGGCATTAATATTAAATTTGACAAATTAAAACCCGGATATATTAGGGTAAAAAAAAAAAAATTATCTACCAAAGTTAACATCGGTAATTTTTTTTGTTATTGAAAGGGAGATGATTAATATAATTATGCTAAGTTGTGGGGTTTGCTTTATTTTTTCAAAAATTTTGGAGAGGCCAATGTAAGTTAAACACCGTACGATCTTCATTTGCAGATTGCTATCTCTGCGTCTAACACTGGCGGTGCTTGGGATAACGCCAAGAAATATATTGAGGTAAAGTATTTGAATCGGACACCACGAATGCATTCATTTTATCTTATATAAATAGCAACTTACACTTTGAAATTGCTTTTTGGGATGATAGGCTGGTGTTTCTGAGCATGCAAGGACCCTTGGTCCCAAGGGATCCGACGCACACAAAGCGGCTGTGATCGGTGATACTGTTGGGGACCCACTCAAGGACACATCTGGACCGTCACTCAACATCCTCATCAAGCTAATGGCAGTCGAGTCACTCGTGTTTGCTCCCTTTTTTGCTACACACGGCAGTCTACTATTCAAGCTTTTTTAGATCTACATGGGATTTGCCAACAATTTCTTTCTGATCTATGTTTTCCGACACTGTCTCTCTCCCTCCCCAATTCTCGTGTTTCCTTCTCTCTGCCATATCTACATGTTCTAACTTTTTTGTCTCGACAATGTTTAGTTTCCGGTGGTTAAAACTCTGAAAATTGTATCTTCTTTAGGTTAAAGCTCTGGTAAAGAAAATTTCCCTTAGATGAGGGGGTTGGTGATGGTGATGATAATGGATAGTCTTGTGAAGAGCTGGGATAGCTTTGTTGTTCTTTGCCCAAGTAAACGAACGAGTAGTTGTTCTTTGTCCTTTCTATATGTTGCAAACGCACTAAGCTATGGAGCTTGGCTCAGCTCGTTAAGGCTTTGATTTTACTAAACGGATTTGAGTCAAACTTTTTAATTTTCTTAGCAGGATTGAGTCAAATTTTTAGATTTTTTTAATAAACAAATTGAGTTCGAGCTCAAATAAATTTGATTTGGTTTGCTTGCAACCTTGGTTGTGAGATTTCAAAATATATTAGGTATTCTTTGTGAACTTTTTTATAAAAGAAAAGTGTTGACCCAATGGGAGTGGGTGGAAGCAGATTTGCTTCTGCCAGGAGAATATTTTTTTTGTTGTGTTTAGAATTAAAAAAAGAAAAGAAAAGAAAAGAAAAGAAAAGAAAAAAGATTTTTTTTTTAAGTATTGGGAAAGGAGAAATAACAAAAGTAGAAGTTTATTTATTTAGATATATATTTTTATAAATTTAAGATTGAAACACAGATTTGAGCTTTTTAAAGATTGATTGAGTTTAAGATAAAAGAAATAAAAACTTGGCATACCATAGATAATAAAAAACAGAAATAATTATTGGATAAACCATAAAGAAGACACATCATATAGATAGACTTCATCACAAAAAAATATAGATTTACACTCTTATGTTCTGCTGTTTTTCCTTTTGAATCGAAAAAAATAGACATCATCACATGCGTGTAAATCTTAAACTCATGCATGTTATAGTTATCCATTCAATAGAATGACTAGTGTTTCTATCAAAGTTGCAAATTAACAAAGCAAGCTACCCTCCTAAGAAAAAGTCCAAAGTAGGACTTGTAAAGGGGAAATTTTATTTCGCTATATTTGGTTTGAAGTTCTAACCATGATTTTATATTCATATTTGAGTATGGTTTTTTTGTTATAATTTTTAAAAATTAATTTTACATCACTTTTAAAAACTCGTTTTAGGCGAAATTTGAATTTTAAAATTTGGTCTATCCGGTCATCCTTCAGGATATCTGGCCGGTTGACTGGAACAGTGTGGTTTTTTATTTTTATTTTTATTTTTTTGGGCAATTGACACGTGTAATTTTTTATATATTAAATAAAAAATATTTTTTGAATTTTTAAATTTTTTTTATCAGTTTTGAATGTAATTTTGGGTTATGTGTTTAGTTATGAGTATAAGTTTTTAAATCAAATATCATATGTCACATCAATTATTCCAAACTCAATTCAAAACTCATAACCAAACAAATTTTTTATATCCAAATCATAATTTCAAAATTCACAAACTTAAAATATAACTCTATTTTCAAATCATAATTCTAAAACAAAAATGATTTGCACCCCCACTTTTTCAACCCCCAGTGACCCCAGTGTTTTCCTATTGGCTGGAAATTTTTTTTTTTTTTTTTTTCTATCTGCCAATGACAGGGGCCCATGTGGACTGGGGGTGCTGGGGGTCACCCCCACTGGGGGTCCCCAGCACGGTTGTTTTTTAATTATCAAACGTGACCAGTCTTTGGTAAGTTGCCCCCGCATTCTTTAGCCCAAGAGACATAACCTTATAGTAGTAGGTTCCTCTTGGGGTGAGGAATGCAGTTTTGTCTTGGTCCTCCGGATGCATAGCGATTTGATGGTAGCTTCTGTAAGCATCGAGGAAGCTCATACGCTGATGGCGTGTCGTCGCATCTATAAGATGGTCAATTCTGGATAGGAGAAAACAATCCTTGGGGCAGGCTTTGTTTAGGTCCGTGAAATCAACGCACACTCGCTAAGTCCCATTTTTCTTCTTCACAACCACAGTATTAGAGAGCCATGTAGGGTAGGTCACTTCCCTGATTGCCTTGGCGTCAAGCAACCTGTTGACCTCTTCAACAACGGCAGTTGTATGCTCTGCGGCTGACCGCCGACTTTTCTGAATGATTGGCTTGCATTTATGGTCAACATTCAAACGGTGCTGCGAAATAGACGGATCTATACCCGGCATCTCATATGGAGTCCACACAAAGACATCAAGGTTTCTGAGCAGGAAGGAAATTAGCTGCTGTCTATCGGCTTGATTCAGGGAGGCACCGACCATGAAGAACCTGTCTGGGTTTCCGTCGATTTCAATTCGATCTAGGGCTTCCGTGGCCTTTTCACTTGAGAGCCGCCCAACATTGTCGAGGCTCTCCAGATCCGGCACCTCGATAGAATTAACTTGCAACTCCTTTGGCGTCTTTCCGGCAAGGAGATAGCATGCTTGTGCCGACTTTTGGGAGCCACGGATTTGCTCAATATCGCGTTCTGTCGGGAAGCGTAGTAGCTGATGATAGGTGCATGGCACGACCTGCATAGTATGTAGCCAAGTTCGCCCCATGATGAGATTATACAGCGATGACAGCTTGACAAACAAGAATTCCACATCCACTATTCGGGAGCCCGCTCGGATGGGTAGTGTGATTTTTCCCAACGGGTATTCTGAATTGGCGTTGAAGCCGAATAGTGGATAAAGAGCCGGAGAGAGATCCGATTCAGAGAAGCCGAGTTTGGTGAATGTCTTGTAATGCATAACTTCTGATTTGGTCCCCGGATCAATGAGTATGCGCTCAACGGTGAATCAATTTATGCGTAACTCAATCACCAAGGGATCGATGTGGGGAAGTGTCACTCCAGCCAAATCTGAATCATCAAAAGCACTGCTTGCAGCTTTATGGGGCCGTTTAGCCGGAGTGAGTTGATTTTGACGGTCGGGATTCGACTGAATCGTATGCATTGCGGATGACATTGGCAGGCTGTATATCATGTGGATCACGCCGAGTGGAGGGGAATCCTGTTAAGGTTATTGCTTTGGTTGAGTTGCCTTTTTGGACGTACTGTTGTAGCCGACCATCTTGTACCAATTCCTCCAGGTGATCCTTCAATGCATAACAACTCTCAGTATCATGGCCATGATCCTTGTGATACTCGCACCGCCTATCCCGTCTTCGCATGTCGGGAGGTCCCACTATTTTCGACGGCCATTTGAAGAACGGAAGGTGTTGGATTTCGGACATAACCGCGCTGATCCGCACTGATCAGCTCTGACAACTCCGTATATTTCTTGTCGGCACGCCTTGTGCGCTTGCAATCGACTTGCAATTATTCATTTGCTCGGTGGGAGCATTGGTCGCTTAATCGGCGAGAATCCTGTCTCTTGTCTCGTTTAGCCTGATGCCGTGGTTCAGGGCTCTGAGGTGGTACAGAATTTAACGGCTGAGTAATTTCAGAAGGAGCCATCTTGTTGGCCATGTTTCTGAATTTAACCCGCAAGGCATCATCTTCCACTTTATAGTATTCCTTAACTTTCTCCATCAACGACCAGACTGTTTTGGGGGACCAGACTGTTAAAGAGCTGCGGAGGGCACTGTCGAGATGTAATCCCATCTTAAAGGCAGTAATGGCCATGGAGTCATTGCAAGCATCATCTACCAGATTAAAACACTCCCAATACCGCGTCGAGTAAGCACGAAGGGTTTCCCCCAGTGGAATCTGCATTGCCTAGAGGGAATCGGCTTGCTTTGGCTGGACCTCATTAGTGATAAACCTTGCCCTAAAGGATTTTTGGAGTTGGTGAAAGCTCTCAATCGAAGCCGGCTCCAATTTATAATACCACCTGACAGCTAGTGGTCCCAAACTGCTCAGAAATATTCTGCACATGAGAGCCTCGTCGTCTGCATGTAGCGTCACGGCTTGCTTGTAATGACAGATGTGGTCGGTGGGGTCTGATTTACCGTCGTACAAGGTGAATGACGGTGCTTTGAATTTCTTGGGTAGCACCGCCCTTGCAATCCGTCGTACAAAGGGATTGTGCTGGTCTTCTTCGTCTGAACTGTTTCTTCTTCGCTTATGCCTTATACGTGGACTCTCTTCAGAGGAACTGGTAGTTTCGGGTCGTCCCTTCTTCTTGGGCTCCAGGAATAATGAGTCAGAGTCGCTATCAATGTCTTGTTGTCGGGCTCAAGGTCGTCGACCACCTGCCCTCAGAGGTCGTTTCGGATCTTAGCGTACAGCTTGTTTGGACTTCACCACTTCTAAGGCCAAATCCTGACGGAGACATTCGTTCTCAGTGATCATGTTCTCCAACCTCTGTTCATTTTGCTTTGCTTGTTTCATGATTGCTTGCATTGTCTCCTGTGCTGAAGTCGATGGTGAGGCAAAGTTCAAGGCGCGTCTTGGGGCGATAATCTCCGGTCCAAGCATGTTTGTTGGAGTGAGGTCATCTCTCTGTGTGGTTTTGTCAGGGACTATCGGAGGGTCTTCCGTTACGCCTGCCATAGATGTATTTGAGTATTCCCACAAACGGCGCCAATTGTGGGGAGGTGGTTTGGAAATACTCTTCTAATCCTGAGGGACGCTCGTGATCTTCAGCTTGTCACCTGAAAAGGAATGAACACTCCGGTTAGGGGTGCCGGAATTAACACTTCGATAGATAAATCAGTGTATACTCTCTTGATTATTTGTATCTTAAGTTAAGCATACTAGTTCTCACATACCTTTCTCTAACTGATGATCCTGTATTTATATTATTCTCTTTGGGCCTTAGGGCCAGGCCCATCCTCGATCCTTTACATGTACTTTTACTCGGCCTTTGTTCTACTGGTTAGAATGCCGATTATTTTATTCGGCTCTTCAATTGACTAGGATCAATGTCGAATAAAGGTTATGTCTCGTACTAGGCTTGTCCATTCGTCCCTATTGATCCAATGAAATTCGGCTGCCACAATTGCCCCCAAACACCCCACTAGCATCAGTGAGTCGGCGTGTTTGGCTTCGAGCTTGGAAAGTCAAAAATTCGGTGGTTAATCCTCTTCCCAATGCGTGTCAGAACGCGAACACACTTTTTGGTCATTATAACGATTTCCCGCCCCTTCGTACACTGCCTCCATTTAATGTGATTTAAAATTGTCTCTTCGAATGTATGTTTTGAATACTCAAAAATATATGGTTCGCCTTCTAATGCAACTCCTTCATTTCGCGGCTTCTGCAACTCCTTGTTTCTTGTTTTCCCCTTCGTCTCCTGTAAGT